CGTTCCAGCCGCTGCTGAAACTGACCAGCAACGACAGAATCAGGGACGCCTGAGGCAGAGCTGGACTATCGGAAGGAGGAACTATGAGGGGTCTGGGGTAGCATCGCCCCCCACCCCATCCCAGACCCTTCATAGCCCCCCTTTCCGATAGTCCGGCAAATCGGATAATCCGGCACCCCTTGGGTCCTAAAGGTGCCGGATTATCGGAAGTTTACTGTATTGAAGCCACCTCATCTTGCTGTTCATGAATCAGACAATTTAGAAGTAAAGCTTCAGTACTCAAGGTGCTCAGGTACTATGAGGGCCACAAAGTAGAAGAGATAGACCAGATCTTTAGGGTGTTTTTCAGTTTCTGTGCTCAGAATGAAAGCTGCTGACTTCTTTAAAGGTAGAGCAGCCAATCTAGTATTATTGATAGATATAAAGAACTGCCCTTCAAATGTTTAAAAGAAAAGTCAATTTTAAATGTGATTCAGCTTTACACAGTCAAAGATGAACGATTAGAAGTGTTGCACCTCCTACCAAGACCTACCTACTGGAAGGAGTAGCTGCTGAGTAGAGGGCTCCATCCAAAGGAGTGCACATTGCCATCCTCTCATGGTCAGCCTGAGTGCCATGCGCTGGCTGGCTAAGAACTGGGGGTATCCCACCCTCCTTCCCTGGAACAATCAACTAAAGTGGAAAGGAATGACCAAGTTAGAGATCTTAAGACTGATACAGCAACACACTACAGCTCTACAGTGGGTTCTCTCATTCTGGAAATAAGATCTTTTTGGCTCACCATGGATATGCTCTGACTACACCCCTGCTAGAACACAGCAGTGATCTTCCGACAGGGAGCAAGAAAGGGGAATTAATGTGAGAGGGGACTTTCCCAATGAGAGAATTCATATAATTTACTTTCTAATTCTTTCTGCCTCAGATTTGGTGCCAATTTTCCAGACTCTTGTCTTACCCTGTTCTTAATGCAATGTCTCCATTCTACCTAGTGGAAAAAAATTGATTGAAGTCCTACTTCAGATGAATCCAAGAGCCCTACGGCACTACTTCCTGGCTTATTTGCTAGCACCATGTTCTTTTAATTTCTCCAGGCCCTTTGCACTCTTGATGTAGTTGCATGCAATATCTTAGCTGTGTGATGCTTAGTCGCTGCAGTGCAAGCCACACTGATTCTTCCAATCTCTAAGAGTACCTGATGAGGATGTGCCGCATTCAAACCACCAGCAAAGATTACTGGATACCCCATGTCAGCTGATCCAACTCCCAGGGCAGCAGGCTGATAGGAAAGACGAGAACTGGAGAGCTAAGAAACAAGAGAAAAAAAAAATACAAAGGGGGCAAAGGAAGAGGAGAGAGAAAGGGGAGAGGGAAAACCCCACAGTCTGAATAGTTATCAGAATCATGGGAGATAGAACAGGAAATGTCACAGAGGCACAGTGCATGCATGGCGCTAGGCTAGCAGAGTGTCTCAAAGTTTTGATTTAATGTATATAGTTTAAAACAAAATCAGCCTTGTAACAGAAAGAGGAGGAAGATTTGGCCTAAAAGCAAGCCTGGTTTCTAGTAGTGAACAGGCAGGCAAACAACCTCAGTAGGCTGGAGTGGGAGAGAGAATGTCAGGAAGGCCTGCAGTACAGCTCTTGCATCACATACTGGAGAAAAGGACAGGTGCAACCAGTTGTAAACTCACTGAAAAGCCCATATAAACACTGACATTTAAAACCCACTTCCTTATCAAGGAATCAAGCTCTCCTCATACTCACTGCAAACAAAGGGTGATGTAGCAGGAATGAAGGACACGCCCCCCTACCTAGTCAAAGGAAACAAACCTCTCTGTAATGGCTCTCCATCTTGCTAGCTAAAAAGAAAACCAGCAGGCTAAGCCCCAGGAGATTTCCTCTCCCAGTATCCCAAACTCAACCAGAAATATGAGCACCATGACTACAGCAACACTGCAATTCACAAGTGAGTCAATATTCTTAGGCTACGTCTACACTATGAGATCTCAGCATAGTCAAAGGAAACAAACCTCTCTGTAATGGCTCTCCATCTTGCTAGCTAAAAAGAAAACCAGCAGGCTAAGCCCCAGGAGATTTCCTCTCCCAGTATCCCAAACTCAACCAGAAATATGAGCACCATGACTACAGCAACACTGCAATTCACAAGTGAGTCAATATTCTTAGGCTACGTCTACACTATGAGATCTCAGCAAAAAATATAAAAATGAGCCCTTCATTAGCATGAGTTGTGATCTCATTTGCATCTTTTCTGCTGATCTGTTTTTTTCACTGGGTTTTTGCGCAAAATCAAGCAGTGTGGACCTTTTATTTTTGTGCAAAACCCCCTTTTTCTGCAAGATTGGTATACCTCCTTTTTTGGGGCATAAGGATCTTGCAGAAAAAGAGGTTTTTGCACAAAAAGAAAACGTCCACACCGCTTGTTTTTGCACAAAAACGGATCGGCAGAAAATATGCAAATGAGATTGCAACTCATGCAAATGAGTCCTTCATTAGCCTATTTTTGCTGAGAAAACTCATAGTGTAGACATAGCCATAAAGCTGACATTTTTGAGGTGGGGGCCTGACAATTTAAAGGCTGCTCACAAAGATCAGGCGGCGCTTATAGAGTCTGGGTGAAGCTGGATGGAGTGGTCTCTTCTCATAAACCAGGCAGGTCCAGTCTCAAGAACTCTTATTTTGCTAGAAGTATCATCTGATGCTATACTTCGACTTGCATAGAGCTTTCCACTTCCCAGAGTCCCCAATATGCCTCAGGGACTCTAGGGGCCTTTCCCCACTGAACTGGCCAAATATACTCTCTATGTCTAAGAAGGTCCCTGCAGACATTCCTTCCGACTATACACTGTCATTTTCTGCAAGTAAAAACATCTATCACCTTCTCACCAGACACTGTCAACGTCAAATTTAATTAGATAAAAGTAGCTTCAGTCCCTGCAACTGCCACCAAGACCCTCAGCAATTTTTGTGATTTTATAATAAAATGATTCTCTCCCCCGTTGCTGTGTATAGGGCCCATAGATACAGGAGAAACCTATCTGACTATTCAGGAGAGACATACAAAACAAATAAACAAAGTAGAGAACAGACTTTTTCAAGTACTCTTAGCTGTTACTTGTAACACTCAGAGATCAAACATTTTCAGACAGCCAGTGGGATATTTTCCAGTAAACTGTGTCTCAGCTTTAACATTCTAAGAACAAGCACCACTTTATAGGAGGTGCAAGTTCCAGAGCCAGAGGCTATTCTCGACAACATTTTTCAGCACTATCCACTGATGCTGGTTGTGTCAGATGGGTAACAGATAATGATCTCTAAGTTCCTGCAACTGAAACACATGGGTAACAACAAACATCCTGATTGGGGAAGAGAACTAGGCCAAGATCCTCAAAGGTATTTAGGCACTTAACTCATATTGATTTCAAGTGGAGTTAGGACTTAAAAACCTTTTAGGATCTGAAGTGAAACCCTGTCTTTACTGAAGTTGGTGGCTAATCTCCCACTGACTTCAGAGGGGTGAGGATTTTACTTCAGATGTTTGTACTGAAATGCTTCAAAACACAGTCAAAATGGGTGCTCAGTTCCTTTTTGCTCCTCAAGACCCTTTCATAGCTTTGCCTCCCCCCTTTTACTTACTCCCTGCCTACTTCATGAGCAGAGCTGGAAAAAGCTTCTCTCCAGGCAGTCAACATCTGTGGTCTCTGGTATTACAGAAGGTATGCTGGGCCTCCTTGACTACAGAGGTAAGGAAAGCTGCTTCTTTCCCAAGACCCTACCACGCAACAAAGCACTGTGCACTTTTCTAAATGAACTTCTTCCCACTGCAATTGAACCTTCACAAGACACTCCTCCCCATCCCCAAACATCTTAAAATGCATGCATTAGTCGTTACCTATATGGCAGCTGCGCAGCACTAGATTGCAAGTGGTTTTTATTTTAAAGAGCACTAGAGCACGCATTTGAACAAACAAAAAACTCTGCCATAAAAAGAATCACAGACACTGCAAACAGATCTAACTAGAACAAAGAGCCTATTCCATTTTAGGCTGACCAGCTTCTTTAGCCTAAGGAAGCAGCAAACAGATTTATTTCCCAATGCATACTCTGGACAGTTAAACTTGTACCTTTCCGAATTTTTAAAGCACTATCAGGCCATAGATATTGTATTCTATTGTGAACTCACTTGATGTGAAAAGGCCAGTCCCATCATAGGGACCTTCAAGGTGTCCATCACCACAGGAGGAGGGGTCTGAAAATGTGCCTTAGTGACAGTAAAAACACACTGTGCACGTACATGGACACACAGAGGAAAACAAGAAAGGAAGAAAGAGAAAAGACTTGAGAGAAGAATTGAAAAGAGTTGGATGAACTGAACACAGGTGAGGAGAGTCAATGACCAACCAGAGCAATCTGACAGCTTTATGCATGATAAAATTCTCAGTACTGCTAGACATTCATTGAGTTTGTAAAAGGTTCAGAGGAGAAGCTGAGTTAGTCTGCAACAGGCAAAACTTAAAACAACCAATAGTCTAGGTCCTGTAGGACATCAGCTCTTAGTCTTCAGATGAAAAAGTGGGTTGTGCCCACGAAAGCTCATGATGCCTTCTACATGTTCTGTTAGTCTTTACAGTGCTGCTAGACTATTTGTTGTTTACGGGTTTTTTGGAAAAGGAGTCAGTCTTGTAGTAAACCAGTCCCCGTCATAACTCCAGAAAAAGTTAGACATAAGACAATTGCCAAACGCTCCATTCTGGGGCTTACTAGGACTGCTAGCCAGTTCACAAAGACTAGGCTGAGAAGCTTTTAGGAACAGCTGAGATAGATTTTGAATAGATACAAGTTATCTATATTTTGATAGTCTCCATTTCATATGTAGCTGGTCTTCCAAAACTGTAAAGGGCAGGGAACATGTCTGTGTGCGCCTGTGCAGTACCCAGCGCAATGGGTCCCTGATCCAGGCTGAAAGCTTTGGGCACTATTATGGCCCTTAAGTGCCTCAAAATAAAAATTGGCAATTTGTGGCATTAAAAACGGTCTAGAAGAGGTGCTTGAGGTGCAAGGAATGTGCAAGGGAATCCTCTGTGCCTCTCACCACACCAGTTCTGTTTCCAGGCTTCCTGGCAGCATGGTTCCATTGGAATTACACTAGTGGATACAATCCCTGACCACTTTGGTGTTCTTCACAGAAAATACAATATAGGGTAGGTCTGCATCTTTTCCGGTAAGCTCTGTAGGGCTACAGAGAGGATTTGTCCTGCAAGTCCTGTGTTTACCCACTTCCACCACACAGATCCCTGGACAGCACTACTTGAGAGCCAACACCAAAGAGTGGCTGAGCCTCCCTTCCATTTAGTAGGAATATGGAATACAGCGGAGGGGGAACACAATCTCTAGGTACAGGGTAGGGTCCATTGTGCACACAGTTCTCAGTACATGATCTGGACCTTTAGGTATTTATACATATATAAAGACGGTTTGTCTTTTTTCAACATATATTGTCCCTATATAGTGCCTTTTTAAATGCAGCCTTTGGCCAGAAAGGTTGACAATTGCTTTACATCTGATCATACTGTGTATGTAAATTATAAACCATGGAGCAGTAGTACCAGAGGCTGCTGTTGGTCACCAATCCGCAAAGCACTGGTGGTTTCATAGAGTTTTTCTTCTGAGATTAGAAAGCTTCATGCCCTCCAGAAGGGCATCCAATGGCAAGTGATTTAGCACTATTGTTACTGTTATGTAACTAACTCTAGCTATGAGCCAACTGACACAGGGACCAGTGAAAATTTCCTCATGAACATTAATATGTATTAACACCATTTATTAAAAGGCAGAAAGCATGGGGCTCTGCCTCAAACAAGTCTTTTGTGCTGGACATGTAACAGATAATAGCTTTACTTCCTCAGACTTACAATGAGCACTCCCTGGCTGATTCAACACTGCTGGGTGCACCCAGACATCAAATATCAGTGAGGCACACGAGAGGCCTCCATCCATTTATCACATCAATCAACTTGAGGCAATAAGTGACCCCAAAACAAACTCAGTGAAATGAAAAAAAAAAAAAAAAATCTCAAACTGCATTTCACTCTTGTCCACAGCAACAAGGACACAGAAAAAATGGACTGCAGAGCTTAAAGTTCATCAGAGCTACTTAATTTTGTGGACAATTAGACAATGTTCTTGAAATTTAAAGCTGCAAGAGAATAAATAATCCAACCAAGATTAGTTAGAAAACTACAGAAGTTACAGGCAGGAAAAAAAAAAAAAAAAAAAAAGGGAAATTTGGGGAAGCGGGAGTAAAACGAACGAAATTACAGGCCAGAAAAAAAAAAAAAAAAAGTGAAGTTTGGGGAAGTGGGAAGACAACGATGCTAGAAATGTTGAAATTGTTTTTATTTTACAGGTTCAAACTGGACCCGTTTTCTGTTTTTTGCATTGTTTTCAGGGATATTTTAAATTAAAATTCATGCATGTGTGTCCATTTATTGAAAAAAAACTGTTTGTGGTAAGAAAATGCAGATTTCAATTAGCAAAATTGATTAAAAAATGTTAAAATGTCTCAAATATTTGCAAAACACGTTTAACAAACTTTTTTCCATGAGCAATTTAAAAATGATGAAAATGACCCCATAGCGAATGGAAAATTTTAATCAGCTCTAGAAAAGACCTCCTAGGTCCCATATATAATTCACTCCAAGGATCGATGAAGAACAGTTCCTCATCAGGTACTTGCTAGCGTTTGTCCATCTAGCTTTATATGCACCGAATGACAGGGCATTTACCCCTTTCCTAGAATAGTTCCACAGCCTAGGAGACTAGAGAGTGAGGTTAGTGTTCTCCTGATATTCCAGAGAACTCCCTTCCAATTCAAGCTTATTACACCTAGTTATACTGCCTGGTCCTATCTGTTGGACATATTGTAGACTGCTGTGTTCCTCTTCAATCGCTGCTTAGCCCAGCCACATTATTTACTTCTTTCCTCATAAATCAGTTCCTTCTGTCCCCTGGAGTGTTGTTGGAATTAGCATCCACCTGGGTCTACAATGAGGGGAATAAAGTCTGGGCAATACTTTTGCATGCATAAACAAATTTTAATTACAGAGACCGAACACGCAGCATACTGCTATTTGTTTGTACACCTGCTACTTCAGAGAACATATGCTGAGCTGCACTAAAGGGAATGAATTGTTCAACTTGCCTTTGGGATTGAAGGAGCTCATTTTCTCCTACCTGAGATGGAGGGGAGGTGGAGAAAGAGGTAGTGCATACTTCCTGGGAGTCTTCCACAGATGGGTATGTTGCACCATTGTCCTCACCAGTCGTTCTAGAGCAGCAAGGAGACATTATACGATAGGAATATTCCACAACACAAAAAATGATGAAAAGTTTCCATAGGTTCCAAGACAAGAAAGGGCCATCTAGTCAATTGAATGAGACTTAGATGTTGCAAGAGGACTAAGAGTATTTGAGTGGAGTTGAAAGAAAGAATTAGGATGGGGCTCTGATCAGCTGAAATACTGAACTGTGGGGCAGCACAGCTTCACAGGTGATTAATCAGTCCTGCCCAGTCAGTCAGCTCTGTGCATGGAGCCCTGAGCCTCTGATTGGGCAGGGCTCATTAATCATTGGTGAAGCTGTGCTGCAGCTTAGAGGGAACACTGGCTCTGATTCTTTCTTCGGCAGGGCTTGAAGAGAACAGTGTCAGGAGTTTCAGTTCTGGCTCTGAACTTTCCGGAGGTTCTCCCTGAAGGAGGAAGAGGTGCTTCCTCCTCCATCTCATTTCTGTTTCCAAATGAAAAAAAATTCAATATACTCGCTAACAGAACCAGCTTTGATGCTGGCAGAACTCCTGCAACCAATAGCAAATATGTGCCATTTCTCTTCATTAGATTATCATCACGGGAATTTTAGAGGGGGCAAGCTTCATGCACTTATTTCCTCCATGCTTACTTACATATGGATCCTACTGCTGACAGAAAATCTCAATCCTGTGGGCTTTCCCACACCGACACAAACGTGTGCAAATTCCTATAGATGCATGATTCCAGGACACCAGGTTCTGAACCAAGTGCCTGGCACAATAACTGATGCACTTTCCATTCTGTACAATGTGTAATCAAGTTACTCCATCACTGACAAAGGAGATTGCATGTGCCTGCTAAATGATCTAAAATGCTAGAGCAAGTAGTTAGGACTATTGAGAATCCTCCGCAACTAGCAGCACTCAAACCTCCAAACCTGGGGGAGGAAATAAGAGCCTTTCCTCACATGCCCCATTTCTAATAAGAGTGACACTGATCCTATGGTCCTACTCTATGCCCAGTCAACAGGTGCTAGAGAAGGCTCTGTACTTGGGCATAGGAATGCCTTAATTCATAGCCTATGACCACACTCTCTGTTTCCTCACCTGTAATTGCAGGGGTGCATGGGCGAGGAGCTGGGGTAGGGACGGTCCACAAAGTGATCAATGATAATCCCCATGATAGGTGGGGTCCTCTCAAACTGCCTGTAATGCAACAAGCAAATGATGTTATTGATAAGATTGGCCTCCCCTCTCTACTGTGTCCCCACTCATTCCCAGAGAGTCCCTTGTATCTTAATGGGGACCAGACCATCACCACAATTCAACCCTGCAACTCCAAGCATGAACCAGTGACATGGTACTTTGGAGTGTGGCTCCGGGCTATCTAAATACTCCCTCTCTGCATGGCTTGAGAATCAGTGAGGATGTTCAATATGGGAATACCTAATCTGGAATGAGGAAATGTAAAGAAGTGATTTAAGGGCTTAGGGAAAAAGAGGTTCAACGTTGTTTACTTGGAAGATGCTTTTTTTAATGCTGGCCACATTTCCTCACCTAGTTGACATGAACGCCAGGTTGATTCTGTAGGCACAAGACAGAGTGATGGTGCCCAATGGGGTACCCACTGTTCCAACACGGACCGTCTGGAAACCTAAAGAAGTAGAAGAGTGGTTATCAGTTTCATTAACTACTTATAAAATGGTCATAAATGTTGATTCTCTACACCCCGTTTGGTTTATATCTTCCTAAACTCTGTCATTAATCCCTCCACTTCGACTTCTGAACAAATTCTAACAGAAAGGGAAAACATCAGCAACATGCTGTCTTGTGATATCTGTGTGATTATCACCCTCACCTGCAATTTCAGTCCTGGCTCAACTCACAGTTTTGCTGATGCCCTTCATTCCTGAATAGCGTCACAGGAGGCTATTCTAGTCCTAAACTTTACAGATACACCTCAGTTCTTCTATTTTAGTCCTGGACTAGTAGAGTAGACGTGACTATCACCACGAATGTTGTCAAAATTCTAAGAATAGGCCTGTCTGGATGAAGTTACCTTGAGTCAGTAGGGCTTCTAATTCTAGGGCTAAGGTTACCAAGGGTAGGGGTCCTCACACTACAAATAGACTTGTAGTCATTAGGGATTCATAGCCAGGGTTGCCAAGGACCTGACTTCCGAGGCTGGAGTTAAGGTTTCTAAGGGTTGGCCTCTCCAGAGTAGGTTTAGGTCTGGGTTCAATAGGGCTCACTGGCCTAGGGTGAGGGTTACTGATATGGATCCAAGGGATAGGATTATGCCTGGGATTGGTAAAGATCCCTGGGTGAAGGTTAGGAAATGGTTACTCAGGAAAGGCATGTTGGGGCTAGTGTTACACCTGCAGTTAATAGGGCTCCCCAGGATTACTAAGGGCAGGACTCCCTGCCTAGGCCTATGGCCAGCAGAGACCCTCAAGCTAGGGACAGGGTTACTAAGGGTGGGACTTTTCAGGCCAAGGTTATGTCTGCAGTCAGCTAGAGCAGGGTTAGTGGTCTCCAGGCTAGGGTTAGGGCAGGAGTGAGGAACCTAAGGCCTGGATGCAGTCCCTGACTTGCCTGAATCCAGCCCCTGTGGCTCGTGGCTCAGGGCTCCCCCGCAGCATTGGGAAGCCCATGGGACCGGAGCACACCAAATCTTCTAGTCTGGGCCCTACTAGGCTCTGGCATACAAGGGGAATAGGGGAGTCTCTCTCTCTCTCTCTGTCAGGAACCACATTAGTAAAGTTTTTTTTTCCTTTTTTGCTTTTCGTGTATGTGGCCCCCAACTGATTAGAAACCCCAGGTTAGGGTTTCTAAGGGTAGGCATCTCCAGGAGAGGATTAAGCCTTTGGCCAGTATATATCCTCAAGCTAGTGTTATAAGATTACTAAGGGCAGGTTTCCCCAGGTTAGGGTGATGCTTGGGGTCAGTAAGGTTCTCTGGCCTAGGTTTAGACCAGGGTAGGTGTACCTAAGCTATCAATACGTTTGGAACAGTAGGATTCCACCAACCAGGGTTAGGATTATTAAGGGTAGATTGCTCTGCCCTATGGAGGCCTGGGAAGAGGAGGGCTTACCATCCTACAATGAGAGTGTATGAACTAGGGTTATGCCTGGGGTCAACAGAGCTCCCCAGGCTAAAGTATCAATTAGTATGTGGAAGCCTCTTCACCCCAAAGTCAGGGTTTCCCCTGACTAGGGTTAAGATTAGGGTCAGGTAGAGGTCCCTGGATGAGCCTCTCTGGGCTAGGCTGGGGATCAGTAGAACTTCCCAGGTGAGCAGAGGGATCCCTGGTTTAAATTTAGACCTTTAGTTAACAGAACTCCTTGGGCTAGGGTTAGGGTTACAAAGAGTAGCCCTCTCCATGCTAGGTTTAAGTCTGGCACCATTACCACATGGGTGATGGCTGAACCTAGGGCTTGGAGATGTGAGACCCCAGCCCCACTCCTGTCCGAGACCCTGCCAGGGCACCCATGGAAGCCAAGTCCCCCACAACTGTAGGGACAGGCCACCCCACAGCAGGAGGCACACAGCTCCAGCCTTTCCCAGTCCTGCGAGCATGGGGGCAGGAGGCTCCCCTTGCCCTGGAGCCCAGGCAGCACCTGGCCCCAAGAGGGCTGGCAGCATGGCCCCAGCCTTGGCAGGGCTGAAGCCAGGCAGCTTCAGGAGGCTGAGAGCGCCATGCTGAATGGGGGGGAGTCAGGCAGAGTTAGGGAGGGGCCAGCTGGGCAGTTTGGGAAGGTATGGTCTTCCCCTGCCTTTTGCACCCACCACCCATGAACTAGCATTAGAATTACAAAGGGTAATGATTTGCAGACCAGTGGCCAGTGCAGATCTTCAAGCTAAGGCCAGGGTTATTAAGGGCAGGCCTCTCTGTGCTAGCATAGTGGGACAGTAGGGCTCATTGGGATATGTTTGGGGTCACCAAGGGTAGGCCTAGGGCTGGTATGGCTTCTCCAGCTAGGGTTACAGTTATTAAAGATAGGAATCTCTGGACTAGTACTAATCCTCAAGCCAGGGTTCAAGTTACTAAGGGTAGCTCTGTCTAGCCTAAGTTATGCCTAGAGTCAGTACGTCTCTCTGGACTAGGGTTAGGATGACTAAGGGTGGCCTTTCTAGACTATGTTTACAGCATAGGGCTTTCGAGCCTATGATTAGCATTACTCATAGTAGGGATCCATTGGCTAGTATGGATTCTCAAGATGGGGCCAGGGTTATTAAGAACAGCTGTCATTTTGTAACAGCCTTCCGTATAAAGCAATACAGAAGTTACTTGTGAACTATAGGCCTAGTCTCTTTATAATCCTAGGTTACTATTGCAACACCTGACAATCTGGAAGAGAGCCATCAGCTAGTTTGTGTCCATTGCGCAACCATACCTTCTCCCAAGCCACTCAGCTGCACTTCCCCAAAGTAAATCCTATGGAGGAAAGAAGAAAGAGTACATCAGACACAGTCTATCAGAAGGCATAAAACAACATACATTTATGCTCCTTTTTGAAATCATGAGTGGAAGGATCAGAACCAACTTTCCTCATTAGAAGAAGGTACTTTGCACTTGGCAAAATGTGCTAGGACTAGCCAGAAAGCCTGCTTCCAAAGGGTGTGCCAGTCAAATAGCTAATTCCATCTCATTGGAGGAACATAGACAATACTGTCAGAGGAAGGAAAAGGAAGAGAGAGAGCAGCAACATCTATTGTAAGCTGGAACAGGATCTCAGCAGAAAGGGAAAAAAAACATGTACTTAGACACATCAGAACCAACTTTCGATTTATAACAGGATTTTTTTTTTTAAATCCTGACAATGACAAGTTTACAGCCAGGACACTTGATGTGATGGGATGTGCATACCTGTAGTTCAGAAGGGACTAATTAACCTTAATGGCTGTACCTGGGGGAGAGTCTGGCTTGACTGAAAAGTATTAATTGAAGATGAAGCCGAAGGGGACTAGATGGACTGGCCAGCCTGCCTGGAGGTTGGAATTGGTCTAAGTGCTGATGTCTGGCAGAAGACTGTGAGCAGAGATTAGCTGAAGGGCTGTGGCTGGTTCTGGTCTCTTGCTGAAAGGAGTCTGAATATTGAAACTGGCAATAGAAGCAGGGGGAGAAAGAGAAAAATCTCTTGGCCTGTGAAGGAGAAGCAGCGAGGGACAAAGAATTGTCCCAGAACAGAAAAAGGAAGAAGTCAAGACTTATCAGAAAATGAAGAATGAATGCACAGAAATGAAAAACAAATGTGGGATAAAAGACATTTCACAATTGTCAAATCAGTGACAAGAAAAGAGATGTTAACTCCTTGTATATGGTGGAATGGCTAAAGGAAAGTGGTGGTGACATACAAAGAGCTAGAAGAATGCTGGAGGGAGATCTACTATAGACTGTCACATCAGGAACAAGCTGAAAAACTTCTTGTAACCTTAGGGAATTCATGACATAAGCAAGAGCATAAGCACAATGCAGAATATAACTGGTGTTCAGTAGCAGAACAAGCTAGAGACATTTAAAAAAGTAGTGTCATGTGCTAAGGCTATAAAATGATACCCATATGCAGAAACTAGAAAAATATTCAAGTATGAGGAAAAGGTGCAGCAGAACACACTTCTGGTCAGGGCAGAGAATATGAATGGAATGGGAGATGATGTACAGCTTGTAGGTAAAGAGAAGAACATAGCATTTGTTACAGAAGTAATTAACTGCATTTTGCTGATGAGAGGAAAAACCTGAAAAGATTAAAGTCACAGCAAAAGCAATAGAAAAGTATCTCAAAAGATAGACAACCTCTTGATGGACTGCAGTCATGCAATTTTAAAGGAAGGAAATACAAGCCAAATACCATGATTTTAATTATCCTTAGTTGGAATGCACAAAGTTTAATATTCCATGAACAGAAATTTAAGAAAGCCATCTTTGAAATGACAGACTGACTGGTCAACCAGAAACCATATGAAAATGGAAACATCCAATCCTGCAGTAGCAGATATTTTTTTAAAAGTACTGCACGGTGCCAGTATTGCATCTTAAAGAGGCACATCTAGGCTGCCTTTCCCAAACCCACCCCACTTACCGGACAGCCACTTACAACAAGATGCTGGGACTGCCAGCTCAAGGCAGCCAGAGACAGCAGAGCAGGAGCATCACTTGGATCTGTCCAGCTTTCACATACCCACACACCCTAGGAAGGGGATGTACTGTCTTGTCCCCCTCTCCGGGTCAGTGGGTAATGCTGTTTTAACTCTGCCACACATATATACCCCTGCTGAGAGGGGGACAAGTTTGCAAACTCATGCTGGGGTTGACTAGATTGCTCAACTACTACCGAATTCAGTGTAATATGCTGGAGCTGGAGTCTGAACTGTGCTTTGTTCAGACTTACAAACATGTCAGAGTTCCAGACAAACTCCATTCCCAAGGTATCCACAGCTCTGAGGGTTCTACTGTCATCCAAATAAAAACTGACTTTTTTTCTAATTCTAAAATAACTAATGTCAAAACATTCATAGTTTTCAGAGACTTTGACAGTCATATTGAGCTATGTGGAGGTAAGAAAATGGATCTAAGTAGTAAATGCTTAGAACAATCTGATATGCATAACCTGGCAATATTTAATATAGAAACACGTACTAAATTTAATTTAATAGATGGATCCTTTCCCATCTTGGAACCACAACAAATATATAATAAAATGCAGCTGGGAATTTCATAAAGATGACAGAATGGGAAATGATGACAACCCTACACTTGAATACCTAAGCCAAGGAAATGTAGAGAAAAGGGGGGGGGGGGAAGAGTTCCTAGCTAGAATGGGGCCTTTTCAAGATATAAATGTGATAAATGTGCAAGTGACAATTTAGGAGAATTCTGTAACATCATAAAAAAAATGCAGCAGCTACTGATCTGACCATCTACAAAATTTCAAATTGCCCACAACTCAGAAATCTGGTTCCCTAATGTAATGAAGATTGCAAATTATCAATCAAGGAAAGAAATAAGGCATACACAACACACAATGAACTGTAAACATTTAATGAATTATAAAAGACAGGTAGTAGTAGCACAATAGATTATATTAAAAAAAAGACAAAATTGGAAAAATGTATGAGAAATTGTACAAAGATTTTTAAGCCTTCAAAAACATAAGCAAATTCAAAGAATGAAAGAATTCAAAGTAAAAATAAATGTGTACCTGGAATTATTGAAAACAATGAAATGGACGTCTCCAGCTTAGGAAAGGCAGACATTTTAGGAAAAGACTTCTAAAAGGTCAGTAGCGATAGGGATCAAAGCAATGAGTTTTGTGAGAAGAAAAAAAGGTTTATTGAGAAACGCCGAACAATTAAATGGCTAGTGAGAATATATTGAGGTATTAAACAAAAGGTTTAGAATGCAGGAGCTTATTGCAGCCACTAGAAAAAGGTTCCAGGCTAAGATAATATATGTAATCAAATGTTCCAACACTTGTCAGATGGCAGTTTAAGGAGTCTGTTGTGAAATGGTAGAAGGAAAAACAGCAAAATAGGGACAATGGATTTCAGGAAGGCAGATTTTAGTAAACTCCGAGAGCTGGTAGGTAAGGTCTCATGGGAAACAAGACTAAGAGGAAAAACAACTGAAGAGAGTTGGCAGTTTTTCAAAGGGACATTATTAAGGGCCCAAAAGCAAACTATTCCATTGCACAGGAAAGATAGAAAGTATGCAAAAGACCGGCTTGGCTTAACCAGGAGATCTTGCACGATCTAAAAATCAAAAAGGAGTCATATAAAAAGTGGAAATTAGGTCAAATTACAAAAGGAGGAATATAAGCAAAAAATACAGGTATGGCAAGGGCAACGTTAGAAAGGCAAAGGCACAAAACGAGCTCAAACTAGCTAGAGACATAAAGAAGACATTCTATAAATATATCAGAAGCAAGAGGAAGACCAAGGACAGGGTAGGCCCACTGCTCAGTGAAGAGGGAGAAACAACAACAGGAAGCTTGGAAATGGCAGAGGTGCTTAATGACTTCTTTGTTTCTGTCTTCACCAAGAAGTCTGATGATGAAGGAATGTCTAACACAGTGAATGCTAATGTCCAGAGAAGAGCAACAAGAATGATTAAACATGAGCTATTGAGGGAAGACTGAAAAAACTGGGCTCGTTTAGTATGGAAAGTAGAAGATTGAGAGGGGACATGATAGTGGTTTTCAAGTATCTAAAAGGGTATCCCAAGGAGGAGGGAGAAAAATTGTTCTCCTTGGCCTCTGATGGTATGACAAGAAGCAATGGGCTTAAATTGCAGCAAGGGAGGTTCAGGCTAGACATTAGGAAAAACTTCCGTACTGTCAGGGTGGTTAAACTCTGGAATAAATTGCCTAGGGAGGTTGTGGAATCTCTATCACTGGTGATATTTTAGAGCAGGTTAGACAGACATCAGGGATGGTCTAGACAGTGCTTGGACCTGCCGTGAGGGCAGGGGACTGGACTCAATGACCTCTCAAGGTCCCTTCCACTTCTATGATTGTGGTTATAGAAAGATATATGGGAAAAGAACTGCTGCCAATAGCATGGAAACAAACATTGGTAATAATAGTCAAGAAAACAGGCAAGATTCATACAAAACTTGATGCCGATGGGCTTACTGCCCTTATATCATGTGCAAGAAAAATCATGGGAAAAAATGATAAATATAAGACTTGTGGAATACCCGGAGAAAAATATTGTAACTGAGATATACAGTGATTTCAGCAAAGGAAGATATACAGTTGACCATATAGTGAAACTAGAACTGGAGGTACAAAAAAGCATAAGCACTAAGAACTTTATGACAACAATCCTGTTGGACATAAAAAAGCATATAATATGCTATGTAGGAAAGGCCTCTTACAAAAAAATAACCAACACTGGAATTAAAAGAGGAAGTGCTGGAGGATAAAAGTATTTTTAAGGGACAGAATTACACAAGTCCAAATGGGAACAGCTTTATCCAAAGCCTACAAGCTTACAAATGGAACTTTATAAGGAGAATTATTAACCCTTCTTTGTTGTCCATTATGGTAAGTATGCAGATGGGAATAAGTATTTCCCTTTTTACAGACAACTATACTAAAGATGTTAAGAGGTGGGTAATTGGCTAATCATGCAGTCGATACAATTTACATCGACTACATGATTAGTCGATAAGGGAAGGTGCTCAGTCCCGGCTCATACCGGGTCCTGGAGCTACATCTGCCGCTCTGCAGTTCAAACGTAGTAGGAGTTGTGAACACAGGCAGCCCAGCTCCTCCTACATTTAAAATGCAGAGTTGTAGAGGAGTTAGTTCCAGCACCCGACGTGATCTGGGACTGAGCCAGCCTTGCTCAGTCTCAGCTTGTGCAGGGTCCAGCAGCCCCTGTCCATGGGGGGGGGGGTTCCAGTGGGGAGTGGGACCCCGTGCAAACAGGGGCTGCTTCCACGGGATGTGGAGCAGCCTCTGCTTGCAACGAGCCTTGGCCTGCCGCAGACAGAGGCTGCTTTGTGGCAGCCTCCCCTGTCCCCCCCACTGCTGCCTCTGATAGAGGCAACAGCACGGGGGGGCGGGGGAAGGCGGCACTGTGGACATAGTGCTGGGGGGAACCGGCTTTTAAATCAGCTTCCCCCCAGCAACGGCTCCTGCTTTTCCCCCCACTTCCCTTTGCTGCCTCTGATACAGAGGTAACGGGAAGAGGGGTGTGGAAGCAGGCTCTTTGCTGGCCAAGCCCCTCGTGCGTATTGCCATCCAAGCAAAAGGTCAACTTCCCCTTGATGAAAAACCCTTACACTATGTAACTTAAAGATCAGCGACAAACAGGAACCAAAACCAGACCCAAAAAGTTCATGTAAAGTTTGTGCTGGTTGTGCCGACTGTGCCATGCCCGATAAGGCAGAAAAGGAAAAACAGGAAACCATCTCACCCCCTTATTCCTGTCACTTAACAGACAGGGCCTGCTAGCCTATCACAAAAAGTGCGCAAAAGCTCTCTCTATAAAACAGCAACCCCTCCTGTATCAAATTGAGGAATCCCGAATAAACATTGGATGGCGGAATATGAGCCAGGTCCGAGGACTCACCACACGAGGGCCACCTCCCGCTCACCGAACCAAACGAGTTCCTGTAGAGCGTAATGTATACCAAACATAACGAATACCAAATATGTTGTTGTTGTAGTTTGTGTGTCTGTTAAATGTAAGTACTGTTATCTGAAATTGTTTAGAGGTATTGTTAAGTAGTAGTGTTAAGTTTTAGATAAATGATTAGTCTTATAAGTAACACTGATGTAAATGTAACTGTTAATAATCCCTGGTCCCTTGTTAACAACTATTGGGATTTAGAAAAACCTCAAGGAATTTTCTTTACTGTATTGCATTTTGCTTATTGGACAGTCTAATAATTATTTAGTGCCTACGTATGTAAGAAATTGATAAAATAATAATTTATACGTAGAAGCCCTTTAATAAAAGTTTAAAAGATATTTGGTAATAGTTTGCCTGTTTCTGCACCTCCTTCAAAAACAAAAGGGGGGGGGGGGGGGAGGGAATGCGAGTAGTCGACTTGACTACCCAATTACCTGATAAGCCTAGGGTTCTCAACTATTCACTTACATTCCTAAACTGTACTATATGGAATAAGCAGAAAAGACTTCAAGTAGACATGGAAAAGAAAAGTGAGGCACTCTAGAGAATTTCAAAGCGGGGAAATGACTGGTGATTTAAATTCTCACATACAAAAACTAAGGAAATGCTTTTAACCTGGATGAAATAAGCCTGGGACTTATTTCTTAATGCTGAAAAAGTTCAGATGAAAAGTTTATGTTCTTAGGATTAGTGTTTGCTAAGTTAACTTGGAAAGGTCACATAGCCATCATATAAAAATGTCCAAGTAGGATGGATTCAAGTGTAGCTGGAAACAAATGGGGTGCAGATAAGAAGGTATTGATGATAAAGACCAGTTTCAGACACCAGATGCCAAATTTTTGGGTCAAAAACAGTTCTAAAACACCTGGAACTGCTGCAGGCCCAAGCTCTGTAATTGACATGTGGTCCAGTGATCATCTCAGTGTGTGCACAGCAACTAGCCATCGAAGAAGCACCTATAAATCTAAGGAAGAAACTATTAGATCTAACCTTTCAAGCAAATGTAAAAGGTAATAATGAAAACAAGCACACAAGATTTATGAGAATTGCTTGGAACTAAGTAGACAAGTTATATGGATTGATACAGATTTATTCATACTAGCAGGGTAAAAATGAGTATAGGAGATATGTAAAAAGAAGAAAAATTGAAACAACTAATTTTTTTAAATCATGGGCAATCAAATTACAGCTAAATAATTATTCCCCATTTGTGGACTTGGAATTGTACTTTTTAAACAATAGAAGAAAAAAATTCCCACACATTGTGGCAAATCACATTTTTGAATTTATTTATGAAAAATTAGGCCAGCTTTGCCAAGTCTATGCAGACAGATCAAAAGAGGACAGCATGTATAGAGTGGAAACATCCTTCTGTGTTCCTAGTCTTGGAATCCAGAAATCTAAAAGGCCATCAAATTATGTGACCATTCTTACAGATGACCTCATGGCATAATGTTGGCATGGACGTGAGTATGAAGTGTGTGACCAGCTGCAATTTATCATAATGCCTGACAAGGAATCAGATAAATCAGAACAGGGAGTTTGGAAAATAGAAATGACGTAAGTGAAATTCCTAACTATGGGAATAATGCAAGCAGGTATCTGTGTAACAACAGCATGGATTCTCATTCACCTCAGACCTCGGAATACCTGGAAATTAGATGGATGATAAAGATATCATGTGGAAGTGGATATTAAGATACTCTTAAGAAGAAGGAGAATTTAAAAGTTTGATCATGAAGCTTGCAAAGGTATGGCAAAAACTATGGGTTTATGACATATATTCAAAAAAACTGAAGATACTATCTGCCACAGTTATAAAGTGAAGTAGTCTTTTTTTAGTGTTAGCAAGTCATTGTTTCTTAAATAATAAGTTAACCTAATAAAAAAAAGTGGGCTGTATAATATGCACAAAACTGAAGAAATTGTTGATCATGGTCTATAGCAGTGTTTCCTAATTTTATTTGGCCACGGAACCCTTTTAAACTCTAAAGAAATTTGTGGAACCCCTAATAATAATATATGGAGCTGAAAGTAGACCACAAGTAAGTAAGTAAGGATAATAATAAACAAAAGCTAAACAAGGTCATGAGATCAACACAAATGAAAGTTGTTTTCAACACAATTCATAAATGCTTAAATAATTATTATTTTAAATCATAAAATGTTATTGTAATGGAATTTTCTCACGGAACCCTTATTTCCACTTCGCAGAACCCCAGGGTTCCACGGAACACCATTTGGGAAACATTGGTCTATATCATTGTGGGCAATAGTCTATGGAAAGAGAAAGTTTCTTCAGAAAAAAAAATGTAGGTGGCTTGGAAACAAAGATTTTTTTCCCCCCTAAGGGAAGACTGGGAATGTCAGGGAAATGGAAGTGGGGTGGAGGGAGTCAAGTATGCAATTACATACATTTTTGCACACAATTTTAAATCTGTTCCCCAGCATCCCAAGGTAGGTTACTGAGCTGAAGCTGGAGGTGCTGTCCTACAAATGAAATATAACACTGAAATCCTAACCACTTGGAATACGTATATTTGGGATCATTATATGCCGATTTTTGCAAGGTTACAGATGTTGGTATAAGTGTTCTGGTCAAATTCCAATCAAGTAGCTGCATTTTGTATGCCTAAAAGTCTACTACTGTTTCAGTTCAGACACGAAATATTAGTCTACATTACCTGTACAGTATTACATATTCATGGCCCTGTTTCCTCGAAAGTCTGTAGGCTGGAGTCACCCTGGTTATAGCAAGCAAAGACTTCAGCAACAGAGACAGCCTATTGTACACAGTGTAGGAAACTTTGATTTCTTTGTCACACCTAGAGAGCACATCGAAGCAGTTAGTCCAATATTTCCAGTCAAACAATACAAATATATACCAAAAGGGGTTGGGCCAACAATCAAATAGAGTTTACACACCCCTAAACCGGAACTCTCTGGTACAGCAACATCTATGGTCCAGCAGGACCACAGCTGTCCCTGGATGAGAGATCCCCGGGGCAGGAGGGCCAACAGCTGAGAATCCTGCATACAGTGAGGCTGGTGGTAACAGAGCCAGAGCCTCAGCAGCCCAGTGGTGGTAGTGGTGTAGGGACAGCTCAGCTAGGCTGCAGCAGTGGAGCCTGGGACATGGCAACCCAGCTGGGATGAGGGCAGCTCAGCCAGGGCCACATGCTGCCCAGTAGTTGGGCCAGTGCTGCTCTAGCAGGGCTAGGGCTGCATGCCACTGTGCCAGCAGTGGGGTTGGGGCAGCTGTTCTGGCAGTGAGGTCAGGGCAGCTGTCACCCAGCTGGAAGTGGGGAAGGGTGGCAGGCTGAAAAGACCAGTGGCAGGGGACCTCCCCATGTCCAGCAAATTCCCTCATCTGGGACCACTCAGGTCCCAAGGGTGCCGAACGAGGGAGGTCCCACCCGTACTTGCTTCAGAGCAGGGGTTCTCAACAATTTTTTTGGTGGCTGCACTCCTGCTGGTGGCCACTCCAACACTTTTTCCTAAAATGCTTAATTAACTTTAGGAAAAACAGATAAATATGCACATATACGTGTCCAAATTATTGTTACTTATGCAGAGGTTTTGCAGTCTCAATGATAAAAATAATGTACAGTTGT